ATTCAGCACACAGACACAGATTCAGCACATGCGTGCGGAAACAAACACACACAGATTCAGCACACGCGCAGAGAAACAAACACAAAGATTCAGCAAACGTGCAGAGAGACAAACACACACAGATTCAGCACACATGCAGAGAGACAGATTCAGCACACGCGCAGAGAAACAAACACACACAGATTCAGCACACGCGCAGAGACAAACACAGATTCAGCACACGCGCAGAGACACAGATTCAGCACACGCGCAGAGAAACAAACACAGATTCAGCACACGCGCAGAGACAAATACAGATTCAGCACACGCGCAGAGAAACAAACACAGATTCAGCACACGCGCAGAGACAAATACAGATTCAGCACACGCGCAGAGAAACAAACACAGATTCAGCACACGCGCAGAGACAAATACAGATTCAGCACACGCGCAGAGAAACAAACACAGATTCAGCACACGCGCAGAGACAAATACAGATTCAGCACACGCGCAGAGAAACAAACACAGATTCAGCACACGCGCAGAGACAAATACAGATTCAGCACACGCGCAGAGAAACAAACACAGATTCAGCACACGCGCAGAGACAAATACAGATTCAGCACACGCGCAGAGAAACAAACACAGATTCAGCACACGCGCAGAGACAAATACAGATTCAGCACACGCGCAGAGAAACAAACACAGATTCAGCACACGCGCAGAGACAAATACAGATTCAGCACACGCGCAGAGAAACAAACACAGATTCAGCACACGCGCAGAGACAAATACAGATTCAGCACACGCGCAGAGAAACAAACACAGATTCAGCACACGCGCAGAGACAAATACAGATTCAGCACACGCGCAGAGAAACAAACACAGATTCAGCACACGCGCAGAGACAAATACAGATTCAGCACACGCGCAGAGAAACAAACACAGATTCAGCACACGCGCAGAGACAAATACAGATTCAGCACACGCGCAGAGAAACAAACACAGATTCAGCACACGCGCAGAGACAAATACAGATTCAGCACACGCGCAGAGAAACAAACACAGATTCAGCACACGCGCAGAGACAAATACAGATTCAGCACACGCGCAGAGAAACAAACACAGATTCAGCACACGCGCAGAGACAAATACAGATTCAGCACACGCGCAGAGAAACAAACACAGATTCAGCACACGCGCAGAGACAAATACAGATTCAGCACACGCGCAGAGAAACAAACACAGATTCAGCACACGCGCAGAGACAAATACAGATTCAGCACACGCGCAGAGAAACAAACACAGATTCAGCACACGCGCAGAGACAAATACAGATTCAGCACACGCGCAGAGAAACAAACACAGATTCAGCACACGCGCAGAGACAAATACAGATTCAGCACACGCGCAGAGAAACAAACACAGATTCAGCACACGCGCAGAGACAAATACAGATTCAGCACACGCGCAGAGAAACAAACACAGATTCAGCACACGCGCAGAGACAAATACAGATTCAGCACACGCGCAGAGAAACAAACACAGATTCAGCACACGCGCAGAGACAAATACAGATTCAGCACACGCGCAGAGAAACAAACACAGATTCAGCACACGCGCAGAGACAAATACAGATTCAGCACACGCGCAGAGAAACAAACACAGATTCAGCACACGCGCAGAGACAAATACAGATTCAGCACACGCGCAGAGAAACAAACACAGATTCAGCACACGCGCAGAGACAAATACAGATTCAGCACACGCGCAGAGAAACAAACACAGATTCAGCACACGCGCAGAGACAAATACAGATTCAGCACACGCGCAGAGAAACAAACACAGATTCAGCACACGCGCAGAGACAAATACAGATTCAGCACACGCGCAGAGAAACAAACACAGATTCAGCACACGCGCAGAGACAAATACAGATTCAGCACACGCGCAGAGAAACAAACACAGATTCAGCACACGCGCAGAGACAAATACAGATTCAGCACACGCGCAGAGAAACAAACACAGATTCAGCACACGCGCAGAGACAAATACAGATTCAGCACACGCGCAGAGAAACAAACACAGATTCAGCACACGCGCAGAGACAAATACAGATTCAGCACACGCGCAGAGAAACAAACACAGATTCAGCACACGCGCAGAGACAAATACAGATTCAGCACACGCGCAGAGAAACAAACACAGATTCAGCACACGCGCAGAGACAAATACAGATTCAGCACACGCGCAGAGAAACAAACACAGATTCAGCACACGCGCAGAGACAAATACAGATTCAGCACACGCGCAGAGAAACAAACACAGATTCAGCACACGCGCAGAGACAAATACAGATTCAGCACACGCGCAGAGAAACAAACACAGATTCAGCACACGCGCAGAGACAAATACAGATTCAGCACACGCGCAGAGAAACAAACACAGATTCAGCACACGCGCAGAGACAAATACAGATTCAGCACACGCGCAGAGAAACAAACACAGATTCAGCACACGCGCAGAGACAAATACAGATTCAGCACACGCGCAGAGAAACAAACACAGATTCAGCACACGCGCAGAGACAAATACAGATTCAGCACACGCGCAGAGAAACAAACACAGATTCAGCACACGCGCAGAGACAAATACAGATTCAGCACACGCGCAGAGAAACAAACACAGATTCAGCACACGCGCAGAGACAAATACAGATTCAGCACACGCGCAGAGAAACAAACACAGATTCAGCACACGCGCAGAGACAAATACAGATTCAGCACACGCGCAGAGAAACAAACACAGATTCAGCACACGCGCAGAGACAAATACAGATTCAGCACACGCGCAGAGAAACAAACACAGATTCAGCACACGCGCAGAGACAAATACAGATTCAGCACACGCGCAGAGAAACAAACACAGATTCAGCACACGCGCAGAGACAAATACAGATTCAGCACACGCGCAGAGAAACAAACACAGATTCAGCACACGCGCAGAGACAAATACAGATTCAGCACACGCGCAGAGAAACAAACACAGATTCAGCACACGCGCAGAGACAAATACAGATTCAGCACACGCGCAGAGAAACAAACACAGATTCAGCACACGCGCAGAGACAAATACAGATTCAGCACACGCGCAGAGAAACAAACACAGATTCAGCACACGCGCAGAGACAAATACAGATTCAGCACACGCGCAGAGAAACAAACACAGATTCAGCACACGCGCAGAGACAAATACAGATTCAGCACACGCGCAGAGAAACAAACACAGATTCAGCACACGCGCAGAGACAAATACAGATTCAGCACACGCGCAGAGAAACAAACACAGATTCAGCACACGCGCAGAGACAAATACAGATTCAGCACACGCGCAGAGAAACAAACACAGATTCAGCACACGCGCAGAGACAAATACAGATTCAGCACACGCGCAGAGAAACAAACACAGATTCAGCACACGCGCAGAGACAAATACAGATTCAGCACACGCGCAGAGAAACAAACACAGATTCAGCACACGCGCAGAGACAAATACAGATTCAGCACACGCGCAGAGAAACAAACACAGATTCAGCACACGCGCAGAGACAAATACAGATTCAGCACACGCGCAGAGAAACAAACACAGATTCAGCACACGCGCAGAGACAAATACAGATTCAGCACACGCGCAGAGAAACAAACACAGATTCAGCACACGCGCAGAGACAAATACAGATTCAGCACACGCGCAGAGAAACAAACACAGATTCAGCACACGCGCAGAGACAAATACAGATTCAGCACACGCGCAGAGAAACAAACACAGATTCAGCACACGCGCAGAGACAAATACAGATTCAGCACACGCGCAGAGAAACAAACACAGATTCAGCACACGCGCAGAGACAAATACAGATTCAGCACACGCGCAGAGAAACAAACACAGATTCAGCACACGCGCAGAGACAAATACAGATTCAGCACACGCGCAGAGAAACAAACACAGATTCAGCACACGCGCAGAGACAAATACAGATTCAGCACACGCGCAGAGAAACAAACACAGATTCAGCACACGCGCAGAGACAAATACAGATTCAGCACACGCGCAGAGAAACAAACACAGATTCAGCACACGCGCAGAGACAAATACAGATTCAGCACACGCGCAGAGAAACAAACACAGATTCAGCACACGCGCAGAGACAAATACAGATTCAGCACACGCGCAGAGAAACAAACACAGATTCAGCACACGCGCAGAGACAAATACAGATTCAGCACACGCGCAGAGAAACAAACACAGATTCAGCACACGCGCAGAGACAAATACAGATTCAGCACACGCGCAGAGAAACAAACACAGATTCAGCACACGCGCAGAGACAAATACAGATTCAGCACACGCGCAGAGAAACAAACACAGATTCAGCACACGCGCAGAGACAAATACAGATTCAGCACACGCGCAGAGAAACAAACACAGATTCAGCACACGCGCAGAGACAAATACAGATTCAGCACACGCGCAGAGAAACAAACACAGATTCAGCACACGCGCAGAGACAAATACAGATTCAGCACACGCGCAGAGAAACAAACACAGATTCAGCACACGCGCAGAGACAAATACAGATTCAGCACACGCGCAGAGAAACAAACACAGATTCAGCACACGCGCAGAGACAAATACAGATTCAGCACACGCGCAGAGAAACAAACACAGATTCAGCACACGCGCAGAGACAAATACAGATTCAGCACACGCGCAGAGAAACAAACACAGATTCAGCACACGCGCAGAGACAAATACAGATTCAGCACACGCGCAGAGAAACAAACACAGATTCAGCACACGCGCAGAGACAAATACAGATTCAGCACACGCGCAGAGAAACAAACACAGATTCAGCACACGCGCAGAGACAAATACAGATTCAGCACACGCGCAGAGAAACAAACACAGATTCAGCACACGCGCAGAGACAAATACAGATTCAGCACACGCGCAGAGAAACAAACACAGATTCAGCACACGCGCAGAGACAAACACAGATTCAGCACACGCGCAGAGACAAACACACACAGATTCAGCACACGCGCAGAGACAAACACACACAGAATCAGCACACGAGCAGAGACGAGCACACAGATTCAGCACACGCGCAGAGAGACAAACACACAGATTCAGCACACGCACAGAGACAAACAC